CCCCCTCACTTTTTACGTCCCGTCCGTCACTTTCAGGCTCTCCCCTCTGTCACTTTTCGAGTGCCCCGTCACCCCCAGGCTGGTTTTTGCCTTTCCCGGCGTGTCCCGTGCCGGGGCCGGTTCCCCGCGGGCAGGGCAGGGCAGGGCGGGTCTCGGCGCGCTCCGCTCCCGTTCGGAGCTCGCGAACCGCCTGTGAGAATTAAACCCTCACCGCGCCGCACCGAGAGCCGCTCATTAACCCCTTAATTAAATTCATGCATTAATCCACCCCCGTTTCGCCGTTACCACCCAGCGTTTCCCCTCAGGCGGAAATACCGAGGGCCCCCCCCCCGCCCGCCCGCCCAGCAGCGCGGTGCCCCCGTTACCTCCTGTGGCGGGTCCCGCCGGTCCGTGCGCGGCCGCCTCAGCTCCTCCTTCCTCCCCTCCTTCCTTTCCCTTCCTCCCCTCCTTCCTTTCCCTTCCTCCCTTCCCTCTCCTCCCTTCCCTTCCTCCTTCCCCTCCCGCCCCTTCCTCGCCCGGCCGGAACCGCCGGCAGCGCCCTCGCCGCTTCCGGGAACGGCCCGTGAGGGAGGCAGCGCGGCAGCCAATCAGCGAGCGCGCCGCCGCCCGCCCGCCGCTTCCGGCTGCTATAAAAGGCGCGCGCGGCGCGCGGGCCCGGCAGTCGCGGGGGAGACGGCGCCGGGGGAAGAGGCTGCGCGTGAGGGTGAGCAGGGCTCTGGGCGCTCCCGGCAGCCTCCGGGACGCCGCGGATGGCCTTTCGGGGTCCCCCCCGTGGCTGTTTGGGCTTTGAGGAGTGGCTTAGGGGTCGCTCGGAGTGGGAGTTAGGGTCTCGTAGTGTCTATTCCCTCTCTGAGGGGGGGTTTAGAGGGGTTCCCTGTGTCGTTTGGGGACTTCAGCGTGGGGTTAAGGGTATCTCAGGGGGCTTTAGAGGCTTCACAGTGTGTGTTCGGGCTTTCAGGGGGGATTCAGGAATAAATCTCTGGAGGAAGGACCTGGGGTCCCTTTATGTCTCCTTAGGCCCTCAGACAGGGCTTTGGGCTCCCTCCATGCTTATTTGGGG